CAATTTATTTCCACCCTCTCACCTTTCAAGTTGAACCGCATCCGATGCAGATTTGAAAGGAGAAGATTTATTTTACAAAACAGTAAACAACTAAAGCCCCAGAAAACAAAACAGAGTAGGACATTGCAGTCAGTGAATATTGATTATTTGCTGATCGATCGAAGATTTGAATTACTGGGTCTCCCCCCCCCCCTATCAAATCCATCGCATCAAGACCGAAAGAAGACACATGTGTCGCGAGATGCGTTAACATTTTGTTGAATCTTCCTAATCGCAGACGCAACACAAACAAGCACATACATATAGCACATCGGATTTGTAAATCCTAGTGAACAGACGTGTACACCAGATAGGCCATTAGAATTAAAAACAAGAGGTCAATTCCCCCGGTAAGTGAACTGATTGTGACAACAACTTTTGGGCACAAGGGATGGGATTATGCAATCTGATTAGCAGTGCCTCACGTATTGTCCGCCGTGAGACATTGCGGTTACTTAGCAACGGTTTGTGCGTCTGGTTATCATGATTTATTTTGCAATTCATGTGACCGCTTGATTACTGGGTGTGGGTTGCGTCATTGACTTCACTAACCACTTTGGAATGCGTTCGGTCATCCGTTGTGATAGTTGACGGTTAGTTCTGCTTACGTATGCGTCACCACAATTGCAGGTGAACTGGGATACAGTGTGTGAGACAGAACTGGATTGCCAACGAGAAGAGGCAATAGGCAATAGAGTTGAACGGCTGGGAATGTGCAGTTCAGAGCAGACTTTAACATTTGGCGCGCATCGTTCAGAAGGTGATCAACCTTAAAGGATAGTTTGATACAGGCATTTTTCTGGCGAACAGTTGGGGACAAGTTACCCTTTTTGTAATTGTCTACTATGAATATTAGTGAATCTTTCGGGTTAACCGATTCGTAGCAATGTGTTTCTTTAGGATTTCTTTTCCTTTCTCCCGGTTTGTCCACGGAACAAATGTTACTGGCCCGATGGAACAGAGCTTTTACAAGTCCACGTTTGTAAGCCATGGATGAGAAGCTGGAGAACTGTAGATACTGGCCAGCCGGCTGTTATTTTTCTGTGGACAGAACGTTGTAATTGGTCATCAAAATGCCTCGTAATTCTAATATCCAAAAATGCTAAAGACTCGTTGGTTTCTTCTTCGCGGGATACGGAAAGATGTGAATGAACAGAGTTAAATTGTCTCAAAAGGGATTCAAAATTTTCACTCTCCATAAGAATTAAAAAAACAGTGCAATAAATCAGCTGATAAATCAACTGCATGGGAAACTATCAATCGATCGGAATTCAAGCCAGGGCAGAGATTTTTTCAAGCCAAGATGTCGGTATAATTTGTTTCATGATCAATTTCTATTTTATTACACACCACGATGAGAAAAGGGGTATATCTTAGGGAGCGAGGGGGAAGGGAACACCAGTGTCACGAGGATCCACACTGTTCATCTACGGGATCCCGGAACCCTGAGACCCTGGGACTTGGTGTAACAAACCGTGCAGGGATAGACTGCAGGACAACCAATTGCTACTGTCATACCCGTATCAGGTGGAATGAGCGTGTCAATCAAACTTAAGATGTGAGGTTTTATCGATCAGAATTTTCCAGCGAATTGCAACAATCCATTCCAAGCTGGGTAAATGGACCGCGAAAAAATGTAACCGATAGGTCAAAAGAAGCCTATCTAAAATTAAGCGTAAAACATTCACAGTATCCTTATGTTTTGGGGACTACTATTGATCGCTAACTTAAGTCGAATCTAAGCAAGGTATAATATCACAGAACCTTCATTTATAATCACTCCGTGTAAGGTAATTGGGAAAATTTATCTTTATGGGCACTTCGGTAGTGGTGCTAGCGCGATCTTTTAGTCTCCATCACCGGCCTGATCTAAATCCTATAGTCCCAGATTCGAATCCCGCCATCACCTTCCAAATCGTGGTAGACAGCTTCACCATCGTCCGGTTCAATACCCGGCCTATCCTAGTGTGGCCTTATATGGTTGGCTACTCCAAGTCCGGTGGGGCTTAGATCACCGGTTTCCGTCACTGAAAAGTGAGTCTTCGTGACTATTTGAGGCCCACCCCGTCGGATGTTGATCACGCAACAGTGTGTACAATAAAGAAGATTACCAAGGCTATGCCACAATAAATTCCCCCATGTATACCTCACATAATGTATCATACCGTTGCATAGCAACTAAAGAGAAAAGAAAGAAAAAGTTGGCCTCCTGTCAGAATGACATATAATTCAAGTCCATTATGCATACAGGCACTGAATTATATTATGATACAATAGTCTTGCAGCGTTCCTCCGGTGGTAACATATGACAACGGTAGTTGTCAGTACAGGGCAATCATCATCACAATCGATAAAACTTACCGGGATCAAGACAAGTTGATCAAACAGACAAAATAGGTCTGAGAGAAATGAGGTACGTGAAGAAGTTGAGAACAAAATGTTTTTCGGGTGAGCATAGTCATTTATCTATCAGTTGCTCCATCATTTATTTATTCATCGTGAGAGACAGAGAGAAGATAGAACGGCTTGCCAAATCAGATCAATGCGGGGGTAGTTTGACAAAGTCAACACTCAATTGGCTACGAATAACTTACACTTGCTTGTTATCACTTGTATTTGTGGGAACTGAAACGATGTCGCTTTTGGCACATGCACACACCCACCCACATACACAAACACATATTCTCCTACTTCGACTGGATAAGGTGATTCCGAGTTTGAAACCCCGTGTCTAGGCAACAAACTATCATTCCAAAATTAACTGACCATCCTGTATCTGCCTAACTGGAATAAAGTGGGCTGATTTCAATGAATGAAATCGTAAATTTGTGATCTATCCCCCACCCCGCCCCGCCCCGCCTCGTTTGCGCCGCTTTCATGTCGAAAGCAGTAGCTCTAAATGTGACCACACACACACACATTAAGAGTGCAAACTGAGTGTGATCTACTTTGTGTTCCCACATTTGTAACTCGCGAAGGATTAGATACTCATTTCATGGTCATCATGATCATCGTTGTACACAGCGTAATAGTGAGAAGCGAACTTCCCTGATCGCTGTC